CTCTCAGACTTCTATTTTGTGTGCCTTATTATTTTATCATACATTTGGTATTTTTACTTACATCGAAATTTTGCAGCCTTTTTCGATAAAGTTTATGAGGATCAAGACTCTGCTATTCCTCTTTGTTGTTGCCTTAGTTACCTATTTTGAGCCAATCTATGCGTATGTCATCTTTTGACCTGCTTGCACACTTGCTGAATGCCGTTTCCAAGGCTGCCAAGAGTTGGTACATTTCTTCTTGCTGCTTCTGCAACTTCACTACTTACCTTTCCATGGAGTCGTTCAAATGTAAACTCTAAAAGTAGCCTTGCGGTTGCTCCTAAACTCAGGGAACAAGGTGACTGGAATCACAATTGGGACTTCGATGAGGGTAGCACCCTAATCTTATCCTTTTATCGTATTTAAGCCATTCCTGCTTCCCCTCCCACGCAGTACCGTCGGCTCAAGCTCATAATTTTAGTCCGACATGGCCAGTATGACACCAAGGCTGCTGCTCCCGAACGGAAAGTTCTCACGCAGTTGGGGTGGAAACAGGCCGTAGCAACGGGCAAGAGACTACGTGAACTTGGATACCAGTAGTTCCTCAAATGATTAACTTTACCTCCCTTTATGTTCATAGCATCGACTGTATTGTACACTCAGATATGATCAGAGCGCGACAGACTACGGCAGGTATACTCTCTGAACTCGACCAGGTTCACCTGTCAGAAACTGGAATTCTTGAGGTAGCGACAAGGCCTCCGGCTTTGACGGACCACGAAATCGTGACTCGATGCTCCCCACTGGTTTCTAAGTCCTGTCCCCTCCTAGAGTCGTCTCTGATGGCTGAGGGACCACCTCCGGTTGAACCCGAACCAAGTCCTCGTAAGCTGCTCAACGAGTCGTGACGGTTAGATTTCATAGGGTTTTGGTAGGTAACGTGTTCGAGGCTGTGAGGGCTATGACTCGTCATATATTAAAGTGCATCTGCTGCCAGTTTTTTGCACATAATTGGTGAAAAATTCATTTATTAACCTGTGATGAGGGCCGGATGACGATGTTCGACCAAGGACGCATTCCAATTCCTCCTGCATTTCTTTCGAAGAATTATCGACGCATTATCTATTCCTAATTCTGCTACCAGTGTGTTGGGGGGAAACCAAGACCTGCAGTTCAGATGGTTTGTTGGTCAATTGAGTTGCTATTCAAAAACGGAAACAACTACTCGTCCCTAGACCAAGAGCACCCCCTAAAGTTCCGACATAAGCCCTTTTTTTGGTGAATTTATCATTAATGCTTGCAAATGATGATATCCCATTTGCATTTCGTAAGGACGCCCCGTTTGTTTATCATTTCTGCCCCACCAAGTCACCTCCAGGTTTAGTCAGCCGCTTTCGACGTAGTGGTGCATGTTAGGGTACCATGTTGTACCGCCACGATAGCTCAATTTGAATGTCTCTCGTAAACACCAATATTGGATCCGGCGCATTGGCTGCCCAAGAGGGCGACTCATCTTCATGGAGAACGGAATTTGGCTCGTTTAACTGGGTCTAGTCCCATTGCTAGCTGCTAAAGCCAGTCCGTATTTAGGAATCGTTGCTCTGGGGACCCATGGTTTCTTTGTTAAGCAGTAGGACTTGGGATTTTGAAGATAATTTTTTTGTAGAACACGTGTACGGATCCCCTGTTAACTTCTTCGAGGAGCAGTAGATGTTTAAAGCGAACTTGGATCGCGATACAATCACTAACACACTTCGTTTCAAACGCTGGAAAACCGTCACCGACATTAAACCTTATCCTTCCTCCAGCCTCTAGGACCAAGCATCTTGAAAGCCTCTGTCCTGCCGAGCTATCCGACCGCATCAACACACAGAATCGTATCGGTTCGAGCTTCCATCACCACATTCACCGTCGGCCAGTGTCCATCACCGGTGAGCGAGCGTTTCGCGGTGGTCCTACCGGTAGACGACCCTTTGAGGTGGTGCTTTTTGTGGGTCACGCAAACGTCTTCCGGTACTGGATCTGTCGCGCCCTGCAGATACCTCCTGAGGCTTGGCTTAGAATCTCGCTACCCCATGGAAGTATCACAGAGCTGTTGGTGGATACAGCGCCCCCATCGGAGTGTACCGTGACCGCACTACGAATTGGCGACGATGGCCACATCCCAGTGGAACTCCAGAGCCGATGACTAATTGGAATGAAGGCTTCTTTTTGCCTTGTCCTTTGTAAATGGCATTGATTAAGTAGTTTATGCAAAAGGTGACGATAGCATATTCCTTATTTGATTAACAGAAAAGACTCCTGAAACAGTCGACCAACTTCCGAATTCAATTCTATGCGATATTTAGCACCCGGGTTTGAGCCGAACTTTATGACAGGTCGTAGATGGGAGCTACGCGAGCCAAGTTCAACGGCACCGAGGCGGTGGTGAAGGGTTCGCATGGCCAAACGGCAGACGTGACAAGCATAATCCAATCCACTGCTGTAGATTCTTTGGGTGATGTTCCCTGCCAAAATACCCTGTTGCTCTCGATTTTCTTCCCAACACACTAAAAGACAATTTTGATGGGATGTTCAGGTAAGCCCAGACAGTTTTCCACGCTTAACGCAGAGGGATGGTGCTGTGGTGGTGCCAAACACAAAGAACAATAGGGTAGGGAATACGGATCAAGGTGCGGTAGTAATGAATGAAGTGAACGGGGGCGGTGAGGAGGTGGACGTTTTGAATCATGCAGGTGAGATGTTGAAGAGAGGTAACGAAACAGAGAGGGTTATGAGGCGTGTCGCGGCAGTCCGCATATCTCGCACTCATTGCGATCCAGTCCGTTATGAAAGGTGCAGTGTTGGCAGGCCCAGAATGCATCACTGCTCTCTCCCTCCACATCGGATACGGAGCTGGTAGCAGTGGCGGAGGAAGAGGTTAATGCAGTGCCGACCACAACATCTCTGAAGCTTGCCGCCGACGTCTGCGTGACCCGATGCGTCCCGCCGCCGCTGCTACTGCTCGTATCCATTGGTGAAGAAGGCGTAGCTCCCCCTAGGAAAGGGGATGGCATACAGGACAGTTGTCCTTGAACGACTTTTTGGGGTAGAAACAGGCAGTGATAGCCATGGTTTCCAGCGTTGAATAGCTATCCTTTTGAGAATTAGTGACTGGGCCCTTTTACGTAGTTGAATCAAGCCCCACCCCCCCCGCACCAGGCGGGAAATGAGTCATTGTTAGGGGTTGGGTCATCGGAACGAGGAACATGCTTACCGCCGCCAAGGGTTTTGAGAATGAGATGCAGGCTACCCCAGGCAGGGCAGTTGTCGGCCCACTCGGTGACAGACTTGGAGGCGCGTAGAGTGGCCAGGAGGCTGTTGAAACTCGACTGGTCCAACGGCAGCCGATCCACCTGCTCCGCCAACCACGCCAAGACGTGGAAGTTGTTCAGGCACCCATACAAACGATCTCGTCCGTAGGCTGCGAATTGACGTGCAAAGGCCTCTACGCTCTGCAGTGGAGGGAAGAAAGTGGGACAATGCTTCACAAGTGACCTCGAGCGAAGTCTTGGAGCCCGTGATAACAAAACGACGCGCGTTCGGCCATCAAACCAGGAAATTGTGGTTGAAGGCACAGCTAGAAGAGCCGTGGCTACGTGTCTCCGTAAATTTTTGGCTAATGCGACTCTTCCGAGATGCTAGTAAATTATGGTAGAATTAAGATCTATCAGTTCTTTCTAATTTAAGATGACCTAAAAGATGACGTTGTCAGTTTAGCTGACTATTTGAAATGCAAATCGACGAATGGGAACGAGTAAGTGGTATTGTAACCCAAGACCTGGACGTTTCCCCTCAATTAAAGGGATGGGAAGACCATCCATTCTTCAATAGATCTAAAAGAAACCGACAGGTTTTGTATTTGACCGGCTTGAGAAGCACCTGCTTCTGTCCGAGGTCTTCCCGATTCTCCACAGGGAACTTGTCGTGGGGTGAAATGTGGTAGGTGGATTGCTCGGCGAAGGTGAAGGTCTGCTCTACGGGGAAGGCGGCGGGCATGTCCACCAACAGATACTCCACCGGTAGAGGACGTCCTATCTTTGTTACTGTGTTGCCGTACTTGTCCTTCGTCTACAATGGAACGTTTGTGTGCACTTCAGTAAAATTCATTTAGCCTCCCAGCCCTTCCTCAACTTCACGAGAAAACCACGCCAATCATACAGTTTACGTACACGCTCTCTTGAAAAGCGGCCTATATAAGCCTTCAAGGCATCGCGTAAATTTCTGGAAACCATGGAAGGGATTCAGCCAAATCAAAAACTTGGAGGAAATTACAGCAGGGTAGGAGAAGAGCAGAAATACGAGAAGAGTCTCTGCAAAGCCTGGCAAGCTGAGCTAACACGCGGCCACGCTTAAATATACGAGGGTAGTGTTGACTCTCCAGCGGGTTTTGATATGCCTTCACAAAGAGAATTGAGAGGAAGGGTTGCGACACACCTCCATCCCTGTCATTCTTAAGCACCTCCAACCACACCAACCAATCGCTATATCATTCCATAATTCCTTGAGACATCATGTGACAGAGTTCAGGGTTAAGGAAATTCTGGAAGATTTATCACTAACCGCAATAAATGGGGCTAAAAGACTTCAAAAACGAACCAATGGATGCTTGCACGCGAAACGCTTTTATCCGTTGAATTCGGCACATCGAGGTGAGGAAACGGCGTAGATCCTATGCATGAGGCTCACTTCGCCCTTCACATCTCAACCCTTCCACCCCCCGGCCGCCCACCGTTCCTTAAACTATTTTCCAAGTATTCATAGGAACACGAGTTTTCGGGGGTAGCCGAGGCAATAGCGACTTATTGTAGAAATATCAGCAACATTAAAATGACTTAAAAGTTGAGGAGTGAAGTGTGAAAGGTGAAGAAATGACCACAAACAGTATAGCTATGCCCTAGAAACAGCTTTTGCCACGAACACACTGATCAAATTAGTTAAAAAACGTGATTCTTAAGGTAAAAAATAAGTCAAATTAGAATATGCGTTTGTAGCGAAGGTTTGCGAAAATTTTCCAACTTCTGAATACGATCTATCAACCACTTGGCATTAACAATGTATGAGCGCAAATGAACGAATGGGGACTATTTAAATGCATTCAGGTGGAAAACTACCGGTTCTTTACCGAGTAAAAGACATCTGGCACATAGCGATCCTTAGTGGACTCGCGAATATACCCCAATTCGGGGGCATCAAAGGTGGGCACAAGAATCCCGGCAGACTCCAGTGCCATGGCAACATTGGAGACCTGGTAGGCCTCAAAGTGTATCTCGTTGTCCGTACCACCGGTCACCACAACAGTGACGAATTTCGAGCCAAAGTGACCGTCCGGACTGTCTCGAGAGGGATTCGGGTGGAGGTTCTGCAGACGCGCAGCAGTGATGCACTCCTCTGCGCTCATAAAAAACGTATCCTGTGGGCATAAAGCAATGTCTACTTATTTAAAGTTAGTAGAGAGGGCTTAGCAGCAAGTCAAAAGAGCGAAAAACGAGGTGCAAATGGGTAAAAAATTATTATTACAATCCTTACGTGAGCTGCATTAAACTGTCCATCATTTTTGCACCTTTTCAACAAAAAGGTCCGATGAAAACCACATCAGCATGCCATACCATGTCACCGCGGTAGTGCTTCACCAAGCCATCAGCACCCTCGGCCGTTAGATCGGTGAAGATCCAACCGACGGGCCTCAAACCCAACGCTTCCGCTGTTGCCATGGCAGCGGGAGGCATGAGTTGGTCCAGCGGACACGTCAACTTCACCGAACGACTCGTGGACTCCTGATAAAGAAGAGGCAATATATGAGGCGATATGAAATGCAAACTTGTCTACCCTGTGGCGAAAACAGCATGATTTTCGGAACTTAAATAACCTGGAATTTGAAAACTAGGAGGTCTGCTTAGGAAACAAGTCAAAGTAAAATCAGGAGATGAGAAGGCGTATTCGAGGAAATGAGGAGGAGAGGACAAGAGATTGGAATGAATGGTAGGAATGGATAAAAGACTGCATAGACGGACGGACGGATGGATGGATGGATGGATGGATGGATGGATGGATGG